TAATTATAAAAAAAATAAATGAAATAATGAAGCAAAACGTCTTACCATCCAAATGTTTCACTATGCCACGTAAACTGTTTCCATGAGCGGCTATAATGATCCTCTTGCCTTCTTTTAACTGTGGAATAATTGTATCATTCCAGTAAGGTAACGTTCTCTCGATGGTCAATTTGAGGGACTCAAACTTTGGAAATTCGTCAGGCTTTGGCCCATCGGTGTAACGTGCATCTTTTACTATTGTATCATAATATTTGTGATCAGATTCCATTGGTGGTGGTGGTACATCAAATGATCTCCGCCAGATCTGCACCTGTTCCTCTCCGTATTTGGCAGCAGTTTCTGCTTTGTTCATACCGGTAAGACCACCATAATGTCGTTCATTCAAACGCCACGTTTTACAAACAGGTAGATCTTCTTGACCAATTTCCTTCAGGATTGATTTGAGTGTCTCCTGTGCTCTTGTGAGCACCGATGTATGAGCTATATCAAATGTATAACCTGCATCCTTGAGAGCCTTTCCCGCAGATACAGCCTCCTTCTTGCCTGCAAGAAGATTTCTGATATACAAATAATTTTTAATTTAATTTTTAATTTTTTGTAAAACTCTAAAACTGGACATGCTTTGCAATAATCCAATGTATAGTTCTTTGAACATCTAAATCAATATCCATACAATCAGTAAGCTATATTCTTGAGATTTCTATAAATTCATTCAATCAATAAAAATGTTTGTATTTATGTTAAACTCATTGATTGAAATTAATATAATACTTTGTTCATTTATGAAGAATAATTTGAATATTATAAAAAAGATTGAATAAAATTTTTAAATCCAATTTTAATATCCAATTGTTTAAGATGTCAAATGTTAAAATATTTATTAGTGTGCACAAATGTACAATACAGTTTGTCAAAATTAAAATATTTATAACAAATGAAAGATTTTTATTATCTGTATTATATCAAGTTTTAACGTGATTTAATGATTTAAGATGTACGACTGCAGTACGTCAATGTCATTCAGAAGAGAAACTCGAAAGATTCGCATGGAATCGCGCGACCTTTCGCCCTTGAAAACGGCGAATTGAACGAACACATTTATGCTGGGCGACATTTACGCACCCTTGTCCGACAGATCGGCGTCATACCACCCGCAGAAAAGGTTCAACTTATTCCACTCGCTCTCGCCGTGCCGAACCATAACGATTCTGTATTTCGACATCCTTTTTGAGTGAGATCGCGAAGCTCAGATAATTTGCGGGAGAAGCGCACAGCGAACACAATTCGATACGGTTCGATACCTTCGCTCAGCTGTTCAGTCAAGTCCCTTCCCCCCTATTCTTCACGGTTATTTGAGGAGTAGGGATAAAGCTTACTAGGCCGGTAAGCCGATATTCATATTTCAAAACATGTGATAGACATTTTACATTATAATAATATTTACAATGTGTACTATTTACAATATATATATATATATATCGTGCACAATATTAGATTATTGAAAAAAATTCTTATTTAATAGTAGATCTGTTCTTTATTCCAGCATTCTCTGGACTTCAATTTTTTGCACCTCGTGCACCTGGTGTTGCTAATTTTGAATTTAATAGAATTTCTATCAGGCCTGGAGGTTTTTTCTTTTTATCTGGAAATTTTTTGGGAGTGCAAAAATTTAGACGTTCCGGGGAACTTTTGAAAAGGAAAATACAAAAAAAAGTCCAAATAAACAACTAAAATATTGAGAAAACTACAATAAAAGGAATAACTTTCGAACAGACTTGACAACAGGCCACTTAGTTCAGAGAGTGCAGGGAGTAAAAAACAGACCTCATTTCTCGTTTATGATAGTCGATGATAGAACGCATCCTAGACATACTTATGTCTACAATTCTCACGTACTCCTTTTCATCTTGACGTTTGTAGTTTGTATTGGTTTCAATCGGTATAGAGTGGTATAGAATTTTGAAGTCGGTAATCACAGAAGCAGGAGTTAAAAATTGTTTAACTGTCGACGATGCAGCATACAATAGTAACACCAATTTCTGTTTGAGTACAGTCGATATAAATAAAATTATTTATTCAGAAACAGTGAATATTCTGTCAATTTCTGCTTCTTTAAAACAGTTCAAAGAGGATTATGTCATTATGCGTGATCATGCGTAGCGCATATGACAATAGAATGGATATCGTCTAAGAGAATGCTGATAATCGCAGACAGATTTATGAGACTGCAAAGTGTACTTGTGGTATATGCTTTATTTGCAAAAAGGTGACCGTTTATTATACTAGAATTATGGAAATAATGAATACCGAAAACACCAGCGAGTTGCATGCATCACTACCTATAAAACACTGTGACAGTCTCCTGTCAATCTCGTGCAACTGGCAGATCAGCAATAATAAGCAATTTGTTGATGCCGTCACCATTGCGCCAATGCAGTACTCATCTGCGAGGTAAACGATTTGATTACAACAGCCTTTAAGTTAACAACATGACATTTAAATTATATAAACATTTGCAGAATAAACTGCGAAGTAGCTTCTGTAGATACTTGTATTGCTTTACAACCAATAGGTTCTAATACAGAACCATGTATGTTGAATATTAAAGTATCAAATTGTCAGAAGATAGCACGCCTTGCTATTATTTCTGAAGGTAACGTCCTAGAAATCTTCAAACAATTTGGAGAATATGAAACAACGATACACGCGGAGTTCATAGATGAGTATGAAGAAAATATAGTTTTCCTTGGTGAAACTATGATACATCCTCCTACTACAGAAGTTAGTATTAAGGTAAGCAGGCTGTTGTTTACATGGATACTTTGATTTTAAAATTATTGTAATAAAATTTAAATTAAGTACAAGTAAATACCTATAAGAGTCAATACTAAATAAATATGTATACCTTGTTAAGTAAACATTGAAAAACAAAACATTTTAACTCACATTTGAATTATCTTCAATAACTATAAATGATCGTCATAATTAAATATTTAATCATGTTTACTTTCTAGTTTATTAGAACAAAAAATAAAGGCTCTCTTATGTGGATATATGGTATAAGACTGTTTTTGACAGACTCTACAAAAGAGGCAAAATCTAGTGCCTTTGACTATGATATCATACAGACTTTTCTCAGTAACGCTAGCAATGGCAAAATGAGTCAAGAATCTGAGATGGCAAAGAGAATATTTGACGAAAAACAGGAAAGTTTGAGGAAATATAGAGAGAAACTTTCGGAAACATTTGCAGGCTCAAAATATGACGAGTACATAAATAAAATTGAAAGGAGCGATAATAAAAAACAATTTTCAAATTGTGAAGATAATTATGAGCAGTCAAATGCTACCAAATGTAAAAATAGAATTGAAAGAAAAAATAGTAAAACGGAATATCCAAATTGTGGAGAGAATTATGAAAGATCAGATATTAAAACCTGCATTGATAATAAGACAGAGTCTATAAAAGAGACAAAATCCGGTATTGTCAAAGATAAAGATTTTATCCAGACATTTCTCAGTAATATATTTCTCGGTAAAATGAGTCAACAACCTGATATAACAAGAATATTTGAATTTTACGATAACCGCGACAATAATAAAATTACGAATAACGAGCAGTTTAAACAGAAAATTTTGGAAACTCTTACATCAGACTCGGATCATTTCAAATGGAAAAATGAAATTTCAAAAAGAGATAATGGAAAAGAATGTCGAAATTGCGAGACTGATCATGAACAATTGAATTCTTTTGAATGTAAAAACGGAAATGTAAGAAGAAATAGCGACGAAAATTGTATAAACCGAGAAGATAATAAGAAATCCGATATAGATATTAGAATCTATATCGACAATAAATTTTATGATATGGAAAAGAGATTGATAGAAAGAATAGAAGAGATGGAAGCGAGTACTAATCAGAAACTGGATGCTATTTTGGAAAGACTTGAATCACGGCTGAATGTACAGTAAATAATGTATTTTTTAGTTTTAATTTCTTATTTTAAGAATAATATATTCTTTATTATCATATAGAGGAGCATGGGTCTATGGTAGTATTTGATACAATTTATTTCTGAATATTTTGAAATAGAGATTAAATTAAAACACGTTTCAGTAACAATCGAATTTTTTTTACATTTAATAAAAGAGAAGATTTAAGTTATCAGACATTTAGTGTAACTTAAGAATGTAAATAGTGAATAATTTATTGAATATATTTTTTTACTTTTGTGTTAATCAAAAGATCTGGCTCATTTTAACAAAAATATAAAGTTCCTTTTATTATTTTTATGTAATCTTAGAATAAATTTATATTCATTTATCATGTATGATAGTATACTATTTTCAAATTTTGTATCAAAATCACATACAAAAAATTGCACATTTTGAAATTTGTTTAAATAATTTTTAATTCACTTAAATTTAATATAGTTTAATCCTAGCTATACTTTTTTTTCCTGAATATACACACTTGGGTTAATTTTGTTAAAATTTGTTACCATAACTTCTGTAAAAATATATTTCAATTAATTATTTTTTTCAATCGATGGAGAATTAATTAAGAAATAAGTTCATGATATGTAAAAATTGATAGAATTAAATAATTTCGAGATATATAGGTTTAAAGAAAGAAAAATTCAGAATCATGAAAAAATCTCGATTTAGCAAATTGCACTGGGGTTTCTGGAACCGCAGTGTGTGTATAGCTAGGGTTAACTTGTCTAAATAGTAGAAAATTGTAAACCCTGTCTTAAGAGAGTTTAATACATATATATTAATGTTATTTTATTTATACAGTCATTTATGTAATTAAACTTTTTAAAAACGATTATGAAATTACATAAATAAGAACAGAAATATCACTTTGTTATAATTCTTATATTATATGATTAGTTATATATTATAAAATTGTTTCAAAAACTAGAAGTGATATGCAAAGAAAAAATAAAGGCATTAAAATAACATGATTGCAATATAAATTAAAGAAAATAATATTGGCAGTATTATAAACGGAATGACAAAATGACTTTAGTCTATTTGTCAACCTTGTCATTCTCCTGAGGAGGATCCCAAGAATGAAGTTGCTTCCGCCACAACCTCATCATACCATCCCAACCCCTTCTGCTATATTTTATATATTTTGGTGGTGTTCTTGGATGCTCTCGTGTACGTTTCTCTCTGAAAAAACGATTTTAATTAAATATATATGCAACAAATAACAGAACCTTTTACCATATTAATCTTATGAGATTTACTTTGGAACTAGCTTAATATATCTGTCATATCCATTAGTGTTTTTTCCATAATCAATTTCTTTTTGTCTACGTGCTAGCACAACTGGATCTGTTTCATACTCTACATGTCTTTTATCATTTTCTGATGAATTAGTGGTTGTACTGGAGTCACTGGAGTAGCGTCTGTTACGAGAAATCTTAGTATGCTCATGATCTGTATTATCTTGCCTCGTCCTCTTGCGCCAAGTATGCAATTTATCTGGTCTGTTCATATTATCTTTGTGCTCTGTGCATTTGATATTGTTTAGTCCCTCTTTAGATTCCGTTCGAACATCGACACGTGCATTCGAATTTTCATAGTTCTTCTTGTAAACGTCTGTGTCTTCCTCATCCTCGTACCAAGGATTGTTCTCTACGACGCCCTCCTTCTTTGTGTCATTTTGCTTAGATTCGACAATTTCTTTATTGTTCATACACAACACTTCGTCGAGCAACTCGTCCTCTATAATTTCCAATTCCACTGATGATTCGCGTGAAGATGAATCCATTTTAGACAAAACAAAATTTCAATCTGATTGACTAATCTAAAAACATGAAAATAACAATATATATACTTAAAACTCGGTTGACTCAAATATTGCGAGTGACGCATTAGACACATACAATTTGTACAATTATCGCAACAGGTATATAACCTACACAATCATTAGTCGGTTTGTTTTGCTTAGCTCTGCTTTTCGAAAAGGAAATGAGACGTTAGTTTATATTGCTTTCGATTAGCTGGTTCTGGCACTAACGTCGTATGCAAATACAGCAAAGGAGAAACTCGCAATTTGAAACTACATTTGCAAAAGTTCGAACGCTTTCAATTTTCATTACTCACTTTACTATTCACCTTGCGCGCCTTTTTGATTGCACTGCAGTGATTTCGCGCGTCTATAGAGACTTTATGACTCTGGCTACGTAAGGTCGTAAGACGTAATCAGTAAGCGAATTGCCCAATTACGGTAGAGATCATAAGGTCAGTAGCGAATCCAATCTTCGATTTCCTTACTGATTACATTTTACGGCCTTACGTTTTTTTGTGTTCCCGGCTTAAGTCACACTATGCAGAGCTGCGTTTAGGAGGCTTATTACGGTTCTTGAAACGAAGTGAAAATTACGAAAGTGATCGAATTTACTAAACCAATGAAGTTATAAATATTCTAGTAAATTTAACACCTAGTGAGTTGCTCATTTTTGTAATTTTCACTTCGTCTAAAAGATCCTTCAGAGAGTCGATTGTGTATCTTGAAAATTACAAAAGTGAACAAATTCACTAGAATTTTCATAATTTAATTGGTCAATACCTAGTAACCTTTGCTCACTTTTGTAATTTTCACCTCATTTCGAGATACATAATCGATCCCCAGATTGCTTTTAAGTGCCTTTATTGGACGTTTACATTTTACGTGCGTTTTTATAGGAGAAATGCGATTGGATAATTTTCTTTATCCATACGTTTATGCAACTATGCAAGTTGTGTGGATATACCTTTAGTTCAGATACCCGCTCGATTGTCACTCAGGGGCGCGATTCTGTAAAGGGTCCTCTACCGCGTCCAACCAATCAGCGAGGCAATATTTATTGGGTAAAAAATACCGCTTTGCTGGTTGGTTGCTGCTTTGCTGCGTCCAATGTGACTTAGGCATTATTCTCTGCTCTCTGTTTCTTTTATTGTGCGGAGCTCCTTATAGTATATCAACAGATCTGAAATTTCTCCTATATGTAATTTTTCCGAAATATCTAACGTCTGACTGTATGTAATTAAGATTTGAAGAAGGAAAAAAGAAGACGAAAGAAAAAAGGACAACCAAAATTAAGAGGCGAGCAAGAGAAATGAGCAAAAGTTAGGAGGTGAAAGAACAAGTCAAAACAAGTAACGTTAGAAGAAGATAAAGAAGAATGTCGAATGTGATCGTATTGAGTGATTCGGATGAATCTGTATCTCTCTCTCCTGTTGCTGACGAACGTGATAAAATCGAATCGGAGATCGGCGGCAAGTGTTCGGACGCGTCAAATGATTTCGATTTTCCGGAGGTGCTGTTTTGCCGCGGAATCGCTGACAGCCCGACGTCGCAAGGTGACAGCAATTTAAACGCCGACAATGGCTATAAACATACAAAGAAGTCGCCTATTTTCGATTCGGAGAATCGGGTTAATAAAACCTCGCGAAAAGCGACAGTTTCCAAAAAAGATAAGGCAACGTTGAGGGAAGAACGATCAAGACGTCAGCAAGCTCTAGCGAGGGAAAAGACTTTAAAGGCGATCGAGAAGAAAACGTTGAACGATATGAAGCCCGGCGAATGTATAAAGTTTATGGAAGTTTATCTTGATCGAGGTATTGATTCGGTCGCTTCTCGAGAAGAAATTGAGAGTGCATTGCAGAATGCCGGTATTAAATTCAATGTGACCACCGAGAAAATTCCTAATAGCATTATGTGGCGGAGGAACATCGAGGAGGACTATATCGACGAAGATAATGACGTGCGCACAAGGAGAAGTATACAGACGGAAGAGTATGCTATTGTGATTTGGAGCAACTACAAAGCGGTGAAACATGTGGCAGAAGGCACTTTCTGCACATCTGTCTCAGATTATAAGGCTCTGATACCGAATTACAATATGACCTTAGTTATCTATGGTATGGAAGAGTATTTTGCATATAGGAAGAAACAGAAGTCGGATCGGAATCCTGGAAGTAAAGGGTCCAGGTATAACGGCAAAGGTAATCAACAGTTCGACACGTTACCAATTATTTCGAGGCAGCAATTGGAGATGTGCTTGACTGAAATTCAGATAGTAGTTAAATGCAGCAGCAGATTGATTGAAAATTCGCAGGATTTAGCTTTAATGATATACCAGTATACAAAGTCCATTTCGGAAATACCATATAAATTGCAGAAAAGAGGGAATCAGGAAGGTAAATTTGATTGGTATGTCATGGGAGACAATAAGAATGCAGTGCGCGTGGACAAAGATGGTAACGGGTTAAAGAGACTGTGGCAGCAGCAATTGTGCCAATTTAACTTGAGTAGCTTAGAAGTATCAGAGGCAATATGTATAGTTTATCCTAGCCCAATTCAACTTATTAAGGTATCATTTTAATTAATTACTGCCATATATGTCGTTGAAAAAATTTGTCTATTTTATTTATTAAGTAGTAAATTAAATACAATGTGTTTTTACTCTTCTAGGCTTACAGAAATTGCACACCCGACGAAGGCATGAATTTATTAAAAGATCTATCGGTAAGTTTCTTAATTTTATTTCTTCCTTTACAAAATAAGAATATATAAAATTATTGAACTGTTATAATACTTGAACTGTGTTTAATACATATGGTTTACTTACTTTAATTAATTGTAAATTTTACATTAATTATACAATATTTTACATGTGATATTTAGTACAAGCCAAAACCTAATCATACAATTACTTTGTAGTGTAACATTTATTAATGTAATAAATATATACAAGTTAAAATATTATTTGACAGATAAGGAGAGCAGCAGGACCTCTCACAGCAGTACGTAAAATTGGTCCCGAATTCAGTAAAAAGATGTACATGATGTTTACTTCACAAAATGGGAACGCTTTATTAGGAACTGAGGTATAAATAACTGCAAGTTTTTATAAGAACTTCATTCATCTGTATTCTGTTTCTAATCTTTTATATGTTGAATTTATAATACAAATACATTATGTCGTGTAACAATTGTATAGTCCTAGAATGTTATTTATCTGTTTTTGAGATTAACTTCTATCCTGTGTTTGACATAGATAAAAAAATTTCAAATTTTTCGTTTAAGAAATCATATTTTCTAGTCGATATTTGGACTATAATTTATTTGTAACACTTCAATTAGATAATAAATTAATATGATGCATTTTTTATGTAATTATTTCTCATTCTTTCTGAGGCACATTTTAGAGAAATCCATAAACAGTTATATAATAAAAAATTGACATTCTAGAAATTATATGTGATAATTTTCACAGTCAATTTTCAAAGTAACAGTGTATTATTGTTATTTAATTCTATTTATTTTTGCCTTTCCCATTCTTTGGTCAATTTTATTCTAACAACAAACGTTCTATGTGTATAAAAAATTTAATATCATCAGCCATTTGAATAACTAAACAATAGTTGCAACTTTCTAGTTTTTTGTGTTACTATGTTTTTATCATAAGTATATAACATAAGCGAAATGAGTATAGAACTTAAAATAGGTCGCGTATTATAATCTTAATAACAAAATATATATCAATAACCGTATTAAAGCTTAGAGATCAGTACAATATGTATAATATACAATATATATAGTAATTATAATGACAATAGAAATTGATATTATTATATATTTTGCAATTTAAAATAAATATATTTTAATATTAAATATAATAATAAATATATTGTTATATATATATTTTTTTAGATTAATACCGACAATAAACTGAAATAATCATACTATGCAGGTATCTTCTAGCGTATTACACAATCAACATTATCATGAAGTAATTATGTCATTTTTCGTAAAGTAATTATATATTCTACGTTTGCAATTCACCAACATTACCGAAAACAGACTGTTTCGAATCATGTTCATTCTCATCTGGTTTAGTTTTATTAAAAATATTGCAATCATCGTCGAGAGTTACGGATGGTGTCTCGTCGATTGCAGGTGTGGGTATGTATTTACGTTCGATGATATTCTTTTTAATAGCATCCTCAATCTCGATTAAATTATCTATATTATGATCATCGTAATTTGTTGTTGATGCCGGAAGATGTGTGGAAGATTGTGCTTGCACGAATCTATGCTCATTTTTCTCAAAAGTCAGGATTTTAGGTGCATTTATATCTTCTATGATTTTCTTGGTCATAATCATTTGCTCGTCTTTCTCGTTTTGTTGAGCGGGTTGCGAATTTCTTTTTGCCAATATGATCTTGGTATACTTCACAGTAGGTTGCACCAGTCGATTTTCTAATGGCATTCCTACCCTGCTTTTTGCTGAGATGTTACTGTTCTGCGACCGTGTCTGTAGGATCAACTGATTTAAGTTTTGCATAGGCATATTGGGACATATAACGGCCTGCGTAGAAGTAGCCCCTAATTTATTTGGCATCTGTTGCAGCTTGTCTTGCTTATTGCTGATTAAAACTACCTTGGTGGTACTGTTCAATTTTGGTCTTTCCTGAGACTCCTTAGCCAGTGTCGCTTGTGTTACTACTGGCATTTTGTTTATATTGCTCAAATTGTCGTCGTCTTTGGCGAATATTATTGGTATATCCAATATATTTCCTAGATCATCGTCTATATCGTTTGCAATGTTTCTTTTCTGAATGCTTTGGGACTTTCCTTTTTGAAGTTTCTGCAAGTTGGTGGTGTTGACTGTAATCTTCGGCATTGTCTTCATCGATTTTTGTGAGATTTTTAACTTGTTAGATAGCGGCAGAAAACCAGAACTTTGACTATTAAACGGAACTATCATCGACGAAGGCGCGCTTCTGTTGTGAAGGGAATTCTCGACAATGACTATGTTACCACACGATGTATTATGGGAGTTATCAGTACTATTGGACACTGGTCCTTGTCGTGGTAAGTGCGCTGACTTGGATACGTCCAATAAGTGAGACTCACTGCTCACTCCCATCTCTTCGATCACTATAAAATATATATGTATATTTGGTTTAGATCTTAAAAAGATATTCGTAAAATTATCACATATTATTAACATGCAACAACATCCCGAACACATTTCCAAGACACTATACCAACATTCAATGTTATTCTTTATATGATTATAAAATAATTTTTTAAATATTTAATTGTTTGAATATTTTATTTTTGAGATTTAATTTTCCAAATATTTCTAATATTTAGCTTTATATTTAACAATTTAAAGTTATATATAAAAATAATGTACTGTTTTATTTGATGAAGTCAGTGAGAAAATATCAAATATTATCATTAAGATGGATAGATAGAAATTTATATCAATAAAATTATTTTATTCTGATAACAAATGTTAAATAATTTCCAATTTTTTTATACTTAATACCATAATCTATAATAATAAGTATTTATCGTTGCTCACGCACAAAATATCCGATATAAGTAATGGTATTAATTAAATTCCCCATAACCAATTATTGAAAACTACTTAGATTCGTTACATTTTACTCAAAATGGACAGGATTAAGGTTGGGAAGTAAACAAATTCGAATTATGTTACAAAAAAATATTTATTGAATACAAAATAAAAGGCATTCTAGTGTTTACAACAATATTCCTTTTTAATATATTTAAGAATACTTGACAATCCTTTACTGTCACGTTTATTCATAGCTGTTAATATCATTTATAGGAAATAATATAATATTACCTATACCTAAATGTGTATCTACTATATACAATCACATTGCCAATGGAGAGATATATTGAAATCCCTTCAAATATTTACATGTATTTGAAATATTTTACAAATACATGTAATTAAATAAGTAAAAACTATGTTGTTAAATAATTCTAACTACTTTAACTACACAGTTAGAGAAAATATATGTACAAGAAAGTAAGAGCTTGCAAAGTAAAATAAGTTCAATATTAAATTAATATTAAGCAGCCCTAGAGGAGAGGATTTTAGCTTTGCAGAGAAAATTCATAAAAATTGTGAATCAAATAAATTAATACGTATAAATAAACATAAATTTAGGAATTGTTATGT